GCGTTCGTTTAGCGCAATTGGTTTATGACTAGTTACTAGTCTTAGAGATTTAGTTTCTCCTTTGTTTTCTTTGATATGTTCTATTTCCAGCCCCATTTAGTTGGCAAGTGCTTGTTTCCAATCCACCTTTGTACTTGTAGGTACACTCTTAGTATGTGCTGATGACATGCTTCACTGGTGGGAAGCAGTATAGCCAGATCAAAATTGGATCTCAAAGAGGCTTTCTTTGTCATTATAGTGAATTTGAAATAAAGTGCTTAATTTAAATTAGCGTACCTATCCTGCCCTTAGATTCCTAACACAAATATCTCTCCATTAGTCAACAACTGCTTAACGGACACATTTTTGTCATTGAAAACTACTGCCAGACTCTTTGCAACAGTAAAATACCTTAACACGTCTATTCCAAATTTTTCTAAACCGTAGAAAGATGACGTGGTGTCACACCCAGTTATCATATGTACAAATAATAATCCATCTCTTCTATCCTTGATATCATTTACTATCTTTCAAACATTACACTATAACACTACTTTTTGTCCGAGGACGCTAGGCACGAACCTGGGATTGTTTTTCACATTAACATTATTTCAGGCTTGACCTAGGGGTTGCGGCATTATCACTAACTTAGATAAAATCCATTGATGATTTGGCAGGATTTTAACCCGGGACCTCTTAGACCGAAGTCCCGCCCTCTAACCACCAGACACCACTATAACACTACTAGGCCTACTAGCTTTAAAAAATATATGTCTTTTTCTTGCGGAGCTAAAGCTACTAACGTGACTAGAAGGTCAGTGTCCGTACCAACAACAATAACTTTGATGTTTTGATTTGATTTCCTTAAGGTGATGGTGACAATGTCGTAGCCAGCATCCTCTTCAGCAGTAAATGACAATGTCGTAACGCCCATATGTTCCATCTCCAACGATACGGCTTGCAACATTATTCTTTTATTTATTCTATTTATTGCCCAAAGAGTTTTCTTTTTCAGTAGCACATCTGTGTGAATCAGTAATAATTATGATTTCTGATTATAAGTTTTCTGTGTAGCTCTTCTAAGTTGTTCTCTTTGTTTGGTTTCTGGAAAATGTGCCTAACAAACTGAACTTATACATGGCGAGGGGGGGGGGTTCGTGATGCTATAAATTTTGTTAATATAAGATAAAAATTAACAATTTATTCATAACTGCTGGTTTTGCCAGACCGGGACACGGCGGGTCCATAGTTTGTGGATAATACCCTGTCAAAGGTTAGGAGTGAAACTCCTCCGAACCAAAACTGGCAAACTCATTATTTCGTTTTGCACGAGTTTTCTTAAAAATAAAATTATGGTTCCTTATTAAGTTTATTGAATGAACAGTAAGGGATCACATTTGATTGCAAGAATTGCAAATGAGGATAATATAGCATCCCAAATAATATAAATTAATCAATCAACTCAAACATGCAGTCGCATTTGTTCATATTTATTTATATATAAATATTGGAAGGTCACGTGGCGCGGCTTTGCGGGGTCGCCCGCCGAGCGCTCCGACTATTGTTTTTTCTTAAATTGCAAATTAGCTCAAAAAATATATATAATTTTTAACAACTCGAGTCTACGCACAGACCGCTGAGGTCTATGTAGACTCTTTTCCATTATATATTACATTAGTTATTATTCAAGCCGGAGCAAACATTCAACTAGTATTTAAGTTTTTACTATTATAACTTTATAAATTAATTTTACTAGCATTAATTTACGTTACAATTTACTGTTTAATGCTTCAGGACTATATATATTTGTATTTTATTTTTTTGAAAAATTGTAAATTTTTTATATATTGTGGAAATAAAACTGATTTGATTTGTTTATTTAGGCTACACTACCGCCCACATTTACATCAGAATTCTGGACTTATACATATATGTATGTGTTCGTAAAATAACGCTCTACAACCTATACATAAACTATTTTTTTAATTTCTCGCAAATAAAAAAATACAGTAGAAAATCCAAAATAACAGTGTCAATTTTTCACAATTTCATCAATTATACTAAAATTTCGGAAAAACTGATAGATTTACGGTAAACATGTACAGTATATGAAACCTTTTGTAGGAAATTTAATTCTGAAGACAAGAAGCTATTATTGTACCGAATTAGCCAACTCGTACGTAAACTAGACGCGTTTTAGTAAAACCATGCAATTTTGACTTTGAGGGGGGTTGGGGGGAAAAGCACCGGGGGGATTTTTAGGGACTTTTGGGAAAATGTATATCTAGTTGGGTACTAACGATTGGTATATCGTTTTGCCTGTCGCTAATTTGTTTCGACACAAAACCTTTATTGACTGGGCTAGTAGGTGAGGAATCCGATATTGGCATTTTCAAACTTTCAAAAATGTATTGTTTATTTAGGCTACACTACCGCCCACATTTACATCAGAATTCTGGACTTATACATATATGTATGTGTTCGTAAAAAAAACGCTCTACAACCTATACATAAACTATTTTTTTAATTTCTCGCAAATAAAAAAATACAGTAGAAAATCCAAAATAACAGTGTCAATATTTTCACAATTTCATCAATTATACTAAAATTACGGAAAAACTGTTAGATTTACGGTAAAATACAGGTTTTGGCTGTAGAGAGAAAAATACTGAGAAACTCAAATATTGATTTAAAAAGTTTTTTGTGTTGAAAATCAGGGCTGAGCCCAAGGGATTTAAAAAATTGTAAGGTTGGTTTGCAAATCTACGTGACACCCTCTTTCTAATGAGACATGAATGGTCAAAATCGCCTAAGAAATGGCAAAGGAATTCAACGGAAAAATTTCGCGTTGGCGTTATACACTATACAGTATGGTTGAAAATTCCTGATTGGTTATATATATTTTTAACAATATAGATAAAGTAAAGAGACTTGGTATATCAATAATAGCCATAAATATCTACTGTCTTAAGCTATTATCACTTTTTTATCACTTAAGGGGGATAGGCCACAAAGAGTAAGACAAAATTCTTAAAAAATGTGAATACTTTTATACCTGTCTTTGAAATGACGACCATACAAATGGAGGTATTTTAAGCCATGTATGGATGGAGATGAGTTTCGTATGAGTGGCGCGATCTTGTAGTCTTGATAGTGACTAAGGCCGACATAATCCTTAGACACAGCTGTTAATTAATAGCCCATACAGTCAATTAATAGCAGCAGAGGTTAAGTTTGGTATCAAATTAAAGGTTTTATTCATAAAAATACATTGCCGCAAACCCAAACTCAAACGATGATGATGATGATAATAATGTTAATGATGTAGCTAAAATGTATTGTTTGAAATTTAACAGTTGAAAAGAAGTGAAATAGAAAAGGTTTTGGTTAAATCCATCAAATTGTAATTGGACACTATTAAATACTAGTGCACTTGTGATCCCTTCCCCTTCGGTTTCATGTATTCCTCTCAAACAGTTCAAACCTAGGAGGATTAAACATTAATGTTAATTAATGTTAAATCCTCCTAGAAACCTGAAACACCCAGATCGAAACTCGCCTGTCGATATTTGAATATCTCCTTATTTTTTTTTTTTTTTTTTTACTTTAATTTTCAAAAAAGAAAGATTATATTGAATTACTTTGGATTTTAAAAATGTGAACGTTTTTTCATTTTATTAAAGATTTATTTATGGTGATAGGTAAATATTGTGGTGTAGTAAAGTATATTATGTTGTAGTTAAGTGTTAAATTTTTAAATTTTAAGGTGAATCGAGATGAATCTTTTTTATAACATGGGTCTCTCCTACCTTAACATACATACTGTACCAAGTTTCATAAACATCGGTTGGAAAAGTCTAAAGATAAATATTTGTATGTAAAAAATACAAAATGGCAGATATCTGGTTAACAAAACAATCTTGGAAAAAATGTTATTCTTGATTTTCTGTTTATTTTAACCCAAGGAATCACTAGGTAAAATATCTCCCCACTGTTTTTAACACCCTGTATATGATGTATTCTTATTAATTTAAGTGAAAAATGTAAGCTGGTAAAGGTGTTTTATAAATAGGTCTAATATGAATGTACTGGTGTGGTGATTTGTATATTCATATTTTTCTTGTCTTTAGAACTGTAAAGTAAAAGTCCACTCAGCAGGCGCATCGTACGATGTAGTTTCTTTCCATGTGTTGCGAAATGCTAAATTTGTCGTCCTCTTCAACCCAAGTTATCTACTGAACCACTGATTGTAAAAAAATTAAAAAAATATATAATTTACGCATCAAACTTTTGGCTACAACTTTGCCACAGACAAAACCTCTCTAACCCAAAAATAAAAAAAATTCTCGCATGCTAACTTTTTCATGTTACAAATCACGATTTAAAACTACTTCACCATACATATAAATTTTTATTAATTAGATCGGTAAATAGTTTGAAGTTCCAACAAAATAGTCATCGAGTAGGACTAACCAAGAAGCTCTGTGCCAATTTTCAAAATTTTAGTACAACTGTAAGTACACCAAAACACGAAATTATTGAAGTCATGCGTCGAGAGGACTATCGTTGTTTTTAACAGAATATACTTTTGACCTTCCGGCACTGTTGACTCAGCGAAACTGAACTTATATTTTATCGTCTTTCGTTATATTAAAACTGCTGTTGCATTAGGTCAAATTCCCAATGTGTCAATCGCTTTAACATAGACTACGTTTTTAGCACGGACTGTATTATTTGACTTACTGGGATTTTTGATCTACAGATACTGCAAACATTGTAGTTTTTGACCTATCGGCACAAGTATAAATTATTTGACCTTCCGGCACTGTTGACTTTCTGCAACGCGTTCTGAAATATGTATGACTGATTGTTCTTGTGATTTAAGTGATTCAATGTGATTTAACAGTTTGTTCCTTGCCCTTCTTGTTTTATTGGATTAATGTAAACATGCTTTGTATTTCACAAAATCAATTATTGTTTGGAAAAAATTACTGCTTTGTTTCAAATCTTTTCATGCGAAGATTTTGAAAATTGTTGAACTTTTGAAGAGAAGGGTTTGGGCATTAGAAAACAGTTTTGACTTGGGAAAGTGATGACCTCCCAATAAAGGACCACTTTGACGTCCTCCCTGGGCTCAAGGTAACTAAGACTATTCTGTGCTTTTTAATGTTTTTTTTATTAAGTGGGTTCGAGATAGTTTGATGAAGGATTCATCCATCTAAAAGTTTGCTACATAGATCATTACAAGTATTTTGCATTTTCATTCACATAGCTCATGAACCCTATTATTAATTTAATGAACTATGTTATGGATTTTGTCTTAATATCACTCAATCCTTCAGTAGATGAGTGAACCTATGTATCGTGTATAACGGAGTCGGAGAAAAGTTGTCCGCTTGTCTGTCTGTGAGTGTGTTTGCATCAAAAACTCAAGAACCGTTGCACTTAAAGCGTTCAAATTTTGCACAAATAATGATGACACGAGTGTAAAGACACCATTAAAATTCTAGACGATTCCGATCAGTAGTAATTATAAAACCCTAAAAATACATTTTTAAATTTGTCCCATAAGAATAACATTAGAAGCTACCTTCTTCTTTTTTTTATTTGTTTACGTTTTGCGACCAACAATTTTGTTGTCTAATTAAGACAGAGAGAACGACTTTTACTCTAAGCTCTTTCATTCATGGAGTAAACAGTTTGGCGCCTATAAATATATATAATTATAATTTCACCACTTTCAGAATAATTAATTGAACTTTACAATATTAGTCGGCAGTTATATACAGTTTATGTTCAGTATTAAAATTCACCTTTACATTACAAATATATATGTACATATTTAGTAACTAAGCAGCTTTTTACGTTATTTTAATGTTGGCATTGACTATTAAATTGACAAAGATGTTAGTCTATTTTTATATTAAAATGCTATGTGAAGGAACGGAAACAGGTCCACGAGTAGGAAGTGGTAAAGTTGAGCTGGGAACCCTTTGTGACACTTAAAATAATGTATCTGCAATTCTAAAATGCTATGGGAAGGGAGAGAAACAGGTCCACGACGTAGGAAGTAGTTAAGGAAGTAGTCAAGTCGAGAAGTGCGGAGTGTGGGAACCGTTTATGGCATTTAGATACATTAGTTAGATAAACATATATTGGATTTTTAATCAGTTTTAGTTGATATAATAGCTCTATCGGTAGTATGTGTTATATATAATTATTATAAGCCATACGATATTTTTAAGAAGACTCCTTTACAACGTTCTGTGGCAATTAGGTTCAGTTAGATTAGTTCAGTTTGGCTTAGTTTAGTTTATGATAGGCCTAATATAAAATAAGGAAATATACTTCAATTAATCAAAAGACGTTTTGTACAGGAATGATGGATTTACCTTCTAACAATAACTGTTGGAAATCCATCACGTATATTACCAATGACTTTGGTTAATTAATGGACGAGAACTTAGGATTGTTGTTAACTGAGATTTGGTTGATTTGCCCATACAAATAACTTTGTGTTTACCAGTGACACCGGTAAGTAGGCTAAGTGCGGGTGGACTCTTCCATTTTTGCGCTCATGTTCACTCATCCCGTTGCGCAGAATAAGCGTACTACTAGTGTAACCTACCTGCAAGTTCCTTATCATCTCATTCTTTCTTCTCTAAACGCCATTTGTATATATTCTAAGTTCAATAGGACCTATTCAAACATGTCATTTATTTCACAAAACCTAAAACACCAGGTTACAGCATCATCACGAATTCTTGTCCAGTGGATTCCAGTACAGTCCAGTCTAGCTTATTGATATGTCTTGAACATTATTTAAATTGCAGCTGACTTTAAACTTGTTTTTGTTATTTATTTTATTTTTTTTTATAGTTTTTTGACTCATGAATTAGTTCAGTTCTATTTTATTAAACAAATTTACCTATCAATTTATGTATTTACTTCAAACATAAAACTGGCGACGAGGATGATTTTATAGAAAACTAGCTGACCCGGCGAACTTCGTATCGCCTAAGTTATAGGTTTCCCCTAAGACAGACCGATGGAAAGAAAGTACCGTTACGTTTAATTTTGAAGATGATCTCGTTCGCATCGCTCAATCACGTCCTGGTTGAAGTTTGTTCGCTACGCTCACTCACCTTTGGGTTGGAGCTCGTTCGCTATGCTCACTCACCTTTATGTTGGAGCTCGTTCGCTGCGCTCACTTGCCTTCAGGTTAGCTCGTTCGCTACGCTCACTCGCCTCCAGGTTGAAGTTCGTTCGCTACACTCACTCACCTTTTGGTTGCAAATTAGCTGTTGTCATAAATGTAAAAGAAATAATAGTGCTGCACCCTGTTGGTAATCCTTGTAACTTTAATGCTATTGAACATCATAGAACAGAACCAACTTGTTTAATTGAAACAGCTGTTAAGATTCATTAATTCCATTTCTCATAAGGTTAACATGGGAAACTCCAGAGCCACTGGGGCGGAGCCCTTTTAAGAATTTCGAAACGGGAAATAGTTTACGTCCGATTCGCATACCAACAGAATTTACACACCAAATTTCATAACGATCGGTGAAGTCGTTCCGGAGGAGTTTGCAGACAAACACTATGACACGAGAATTTTATATATTAGATTTAGAGTGCAAGATAGTTTATTCAATTCCACAGTCTAATTCATTATAATGTCTGAAGATACATTATCAGCAACTCTTAATAATCCTTTGTTGGTAAGTCAACCTAGATGTGAAAAATGTTAACCCTAATTCATGTGACATTGATGTTTGGAATATTAAATTCAAGGCAAATTTATGTTTGGGCAACATTACAAATGATGATATTAAAAGATGTTTATTCATTGACTGCCTGGATAGTACAATTCTTAAACATTGGTAACTATTTGCAAGCCAAAAGAAATTAGTGAATTCACTTATGAACAACTTTATGAACTTTTGTTAAAGCATTTCAAGCCAGTAAAGTTTAAAGTTGCCGAAAGAGTAAAATTCTTTTCACTGAAGCAAGGTATTGAATCCTTGTCCACCTTTGGAAATAACTTAAAAGAATTAGCCAGCGGTTGTGATTTCCCTGGTGACTTTTATCAAGAGGCTTTCATTACATCCTTCATAATGGGTATAAATGAAGATTCTATTAGAGCTAATTTACTTCAGAAAGATTACACAGATTTCAATACTGTACCTGAATTTGCTAGAACATTAAGTTCAGTTTTACCACTTCAGCAAAGAAAAATCTGATTTCATTTTCTGATAATGAGATCAATGGAGAGGTTCTAATTACAAATTCAAACTACTTCTGCTATTGTTGTGGTGGAAACCATTTTAGGAAACAATGTAGATTTAGAAATACAATATGTAATAATTGTGATAAAAAAGGTCACTTGGCAAAAGTTTGCAAAATTAAAAGGAGAACAGATTCCCAAAACAAAAAAATTGGTGGAGATGGAAAAGGAACGTACAACCGACAAGTAAATTTCACTGACAATGAAAAAGGAAGAGATTCTAGAACCTTTATCAACTCTAACATACTTGATTGTTCACCTAAGTTGACAAATGAAACTATTTTTTCTCTTGGTCTTCAGTGTCATAATGTGAGTGGATATTCTCCAATTTGGGTTTCTATCTGTATCAATAGTATTTTAATTAATATGCAACTAGATACAGGAAGTTGTGTTTCTGTTATATGTCAACGAACTTGGGAAAGATTGAAAAAATTTCCTTTGTTACATTCAAATACAAAACTGACATCTTATAGTAGCCATTGCATAAACTTGATTGGTGAACAAACAGTTAAAGTGGCATTCAGGAAAACCAAAAGAGAGCTAAAGCTGTACGTTGCTGAAGGTGGCACTCTGTTACTCACCGGTCAGAAGAATACTGCTGCTGTCCTCAGTTGACGACAGTTGGTACTGATAGGCTATTGGGCTTTTGGTAATATGTGGCCAGTTCATATCATGTATAACATCCCTCCTTTCATAAAATAAACTTGAGACTCCTGGTAAGATTTTTGTTTCGTTGTAAATTAAATGCTGTCATAACCAATTTCTTCTTTCACAAATCAACACAAAATTCTCCCTTCAAAATAAATTTCTTCTTTCAAAAAATAAAACTCTTTCTTCACACAGAAAACAAAATAAAAATTCTTCTCGTACATAATAAAATACTCTTCTTACAGGCCTATAGAATGTGTCTTCATAAAAAAACAGAACAAACTAAACAAATAAAAATTACTTCGTAGGCCTGTATTACATGTCTTGCTTAGTGTTTGTATCGTTCTGGGGTCTTGACGTGACGTCCAACCCGTGTCACTCGTCTGTTAGGTGTATTAGTTTCCATATCGAGTGGTCTCATATCTTGGTCATGTAAAATGTTGTCTACGATTGGAGCTGATTTCTTAGTGGGACTGTCAACTTGGGTCCTGTTGTCGTCTGCTACTCGGTCAGGTTCATTGTGTGTTAGGGCCGCCTTTGGTGCATTTAAGAATTCTCTGTTTCTTCTATACAACTTTCCACTAATATCTACCATGTACGACCTTGGTGATTTCTTCTCAATTATCTTTCCTGGAGACCACTTGGGATCACATTTTGTCGATTGCTTCACATAAACTTCTTGGCCTATGTCTAAATCAGGCAATGTCTTGGAAGTTCTATCGTAATAAAATTTATATTTTCTCTTCTTTAGGCTAAGTTGGTCTTGGACTGAGCACTCTGTCCTTGGTACTAACAAGTTCTTCACTACTGGTATAAGCGTTCTTGTGCGAAGAGACATCAAGCGTTGAACAGGACTTGAGTTGATTCCTTCAGTGGGAGTGTTGCGCCACTCTAATAAAGCCATCCATAGATCTTCTGAATTTCTTTCAGTCTTCTTAATTAAGTATTTTGCTATCTTTACAGCTGATTCAGCCTTGCCATTACCTCTCGGGTGATATGGCGACGATGTGACGTGATTAAACTCCCATTCTTTTGCAAATCTGTGAAAGTTAGCTGTTTGAAACTGAGCTTGTGAATTGTCAGTCACCACTGTTAAGGGGCAGCCGTGACGACTGAAGTTTTTCTTTGCAATTTCTACCGTAGTGGCTGATGTCAGATCAGTTAGTTTGTCCAATTCAAAGAAATCTGAGTAATAGTCTACTGT